AATGGTTATAGCCGACAGTCATCAATCTGGTTCCTTTTGTAGGTACCGAGGCACAGATTACGTACAACAAAAGAAACAATACAACCAAACAATAAAGCCTCCAGGAGAAATTTATTGTTTGGTTCCTTTCTTTCTTTTGTGATGAGGGTACCTGCAGCTAGAAAGACCCCTTTCAAGTTTTTTCTTTCTCACCGTAAAGGTGCTAGTGAATACCAACGATCTTCTTCAGGAAGATAACAAAACGTGATGCGCCCTTCATCGGGGGTCTTGCCCTTACCACCAACAAACAGAATCACTTGCACTAAAGTCGAACATGTTCTTGGCACCGTCCTTGGACTACTCATGGATTTTTTCTGTTCTTCTTCCGCTGTGTTATACCTCATGGCCTCCAGAACCATTTCCTTTGCTGTGGGCGAGCGATGCACTAATTCCTGTCGCTGTACATGCTCCATAATTATGCCGGTGGACAGTAATGGCAGCCGAACATGTTGCAGTAATTTGGAGAAGTGGATCCCGCGCTCTTTGCGATCATATTCAGTCCATCTCACCAGGCTGTCGAATACCTACAACGGATAAAATAATTGTTTTACAAGGATTCTAAACTGATTTGGAACGATTCGTAATAACTATCATCCCAGGATTACAACTTTCTGACCCTTGGTCAACTGATGTTCCTCCATAGGAGAGCCTAGGTTTTGGGATGGCACAGTTGGAACCATTTCATCCGACTTTCTAAAAACAGCCATGGGATGGATTTAGGGGGTGAGCCCGAAAAGACCGCGGCCACCCCCCTTCTGCAAAAAAATCTATGAATTTAAAAGGAATTTTCATTGAGATATAAATATCTATATATATAGAAGGCAAGTGTGCCCTGGGTGCCGATGAAGTCTGAAAAGGCAAAAGGAAATCCCTTGATGAGACGCGTCGTAAGTTATTACTGGAATCCAGTATCTGGAATCCGGAATCCAATAGGGAGTGGAATCGAGAATCTAGGACTATCTTGGACTCCCTTATACCCCAAACCGTACCATACTTGGACAAAAATTAAACTAGTGGTCTTACTCTTAGAACTTACTATGACGTTTAATTAACAATTATTCCACGAGTGCGTGTTGGATATAAGCCGAGTTGGCTATAGAGTATTTTCACTGACGTGGCCAGCATCTTTGCAAATTTATTGGGACAAAAGAAAGCGTTTGCATAAGAAAAAAGTCCAGCTCCCAAAGGATTGGTCTGGGACACCAACATGGCCGCCGTTTCATTGTTTTCGGACACCAATATGGCCGCCGTGACGCCATGTGAAAACACTCTAAAATCATCTAATATCCAAGAAGCGCTAGCGGAATAATTGTTTTATAAAAACGCCCACAAAATATCGAGAATTCTTCCCGGCGTTATTTGTAAAAACAACCGATTTTCAGCTTGTTTTGAATTTTGAGCAGACACGTACAGTTTCCATATTTGGAGCTAGAGCATGGTATGATGGCTAAGCCAATCTGAGCTCTAGCTAGAAATAAATTATCCAATGATTCGATCAGTTTTTAATAATAGCTGTTAGAATACAGAAATTATTTTAATTGCATAATCACCTGCTGCTCACTGTCGACGCAAATGTCATTGTTTGACAACATTTTCTCAAGCTCATCTTGGTGAAGTTCCGACATGACAGCTGTTTGAAGGCATGCTTTGCTTCCAATAAAATCAACGTCGTCTTTTTCTAAAGTGTAACAGCTGCAAAATAAACTTGGTATTCGGTGAGTCACTCTGCTTGCAGATTTAAGTGTTGTTCATGTAAATTAATCAGCTTCGATATTTACTTCGCTTATTAATAAGCCGGAATCGGCAACATAAACCGACAGGTACCGCGTGCTACTGTGTGAACATGTTAGCAGGTGGCACTAAAAGCAACACATCTTTTAGAAAATAGGGGCAAGAAAAATGTGTTTTACGATATTCTAGAACAAAAAAACGTCTTTCTAAGAAATAAAAAAATTCAAGTTCAAAACTTCCAAAAAATTG